GGAAAGTGAACATAATGTTTTGTTTAAAGAAGTGTTCAGTGGAAGGCGCCTAAAAAGATAAGAGGATATTTTTGTGGAAATTGGGTCACGAAGGGATGCTTACCAATGTAAGATGGTTCAGATTTGAGTTATCTTATACAAATGTATGTTGTTTTTGTGGGGTTTATGAAGAGAATCTCTTTCAGCTATTCAGAGTGTGTAAACCAATTCAAGTGAGGTGGGCCCTTCTTATCAAAGGGGGTGTTTATAATTCTTTCTTCAAGGATAATGATTAACAGAATTGGTTGGCTTATAATTTATTGAACCACATTGATGTTCTTGGTATGAGATATATATATGGAGTATATTTTTTTGTGTCATGTTGTACATAACATGGTGGAGAAGGAATTAATGGGTTTTAATCAAGTTAAGTGGAATATTATGGATCTAGTGAGAAAGGTGATGAGTATGACATATGGGATTAGGGATTCTTAAGAAGTGTTTTTCGCTATTCATTGTCAAGATTCATGTACTTTTAGCATCTGGGACATAGTTTGGAAATTTTTTGGATCCTATAGGGAAGTGATGTTGAACACAAATGGGTTGATCAAAGATCTTAGGATTGTAGCTTTTCATGCTGGACTTATTCAAGATAAGAATGGAGCTTTCTTATGCGGTTGTGGAGTAAAATTGAGAGCTTGTTCACTTCTTTTAGCTGAATTATGGGCTATATATATATATCATGACTTTCATTTAGCTTGGGGGAAAGGCTATGACAAAATTAAAGTTTGTTCTAATTCTCATAATGTAATTATGTTGCTAACTAAAGGTTGTTGTTGCACATATCCTTATACCAATGTGATAACAACGATCCATGGGATTCATCGAAATGAAGGGACTGCAAGGTGGTATCACGTGTTGGGAGAGACTTATTAAGCAATTGATTTACTAACTATTCATGAACTTAGTTTATTTTCTGAATTTCATCTTTTTCTATTATGCTCTTGATTTTATTTGTAACGTTGTAAGGGTAGATCTTAGATGTATATGTTTTTCTAGAGGTTTCTAGGTTCAAAAATATTTTAATTCACCAAAATAAAATCCTTTGAACAAAGTCTCATATTTAAATATTTATAATAAAAAAATGAGATTAGAATTATTTTTTTTTACTAAATATTGTGACCTTTTTTTTTTAAGATTAATTATTAATTATAAAAATATTAAACAGTTTGACACTGATATTACGATAACAAAAACAATGAATTACAATTGAAAAATATAATTGTTCTTTTAGCTGATTTTAAATTTTAAACACTCCAAACAGTCTAAATTTGTTTTATTACAATTCAAAATTGGACTTTAAATCAAATAAAAAATATATCCTTACATCCTGTAAGTGACCCAATTTATTTATCTACACTTTTTAGTTAATATCTATTAATTAAAAATATTATTAGTATATTTAATAACTTATTAAAATGTTTTTATCTTAAATTTCAAATACAAAATTTTCCTTTAACATTTTTTGTGTGCTTTATAGTAAGTTAGTGGAATGAGATATTGTGTGTCTCAATATATTTTATTTAAAAATAATATAAATAAAATATAAAAATAATAAAAATTACATCATATAAATTAAGTGAAATAATGTATAATTTGAAAAGAGTAAAATAATATTAAATAAAAATAAAGATACAAAATAATTACAAAATAAAAGATAATTATTATAAATAGATGGATAATTAATATTTTTATACGTATTTTTTATTTTATTTTATCTTCAAGAAATTAATATATAATAAATAGTTATAAATATTTAAATATTTATGTTTCGTTACTGTTAATGGAGAAATATGTTTATATAATGTTTTCCAACAAAATATAAAATGATGAAAATAAGAAGGAAAAAATGTAATAATATAATTTATTTAGAATAAAAAAAATTATAACTTTTTCCAAAAAAATATTATTATATAAATAATATATCACGTATTAACTATATATCCTACGGTTCTTCGTAAGACAAATCAAGTTAAGAACAAGTGAACAAAATTAAAATAAAAATATTTGCTTTGTAATCTTGTACATTAGAAAGTTAGATTTTTTGTTAGCATAAAAGCTAACGGATATCCAACACAATGTAAGAATTTGAGAGTATTTCACAAGTTGTTCTCCTTTTTTTTTATTTTTATTAGTTGTTCAATGTATCTTTTACTGTTTTCTCTAGTAATTTTTAATTGTTACGTTGTAGAGGATTTTCCCCTTCACTTCGAAAAATTAAAAAGAAAAAGTTATATCCCCTTCTCCAGCTAAGATTATTGAATAATTAGGAGCAGATACAACTTGAGTCTCCGACAATAATGTGCATGAGGACACATGTTATAGTAGTAGGGAACACAGGCACACAAAGTCTTGTAACACATAATTTCTAACTAATTTTAACATAATATATAATTATTAT